TTTACGGAAATTAGCATTTCTTTTAAAAGTGCCGCCCTCGGAATTCATAGTGCCGCCCTCGGAAGTCGTAATGCCGCCCTCGGAAGTCGTAGTGCCGCCCTCAGAAGTCATGCATGCCGCCCCCGTAGGCGGAAAATGTGCCGCCCTTGTGCTGACTGCCCCCACCCTATGGAAATCCTGGATCCGCCCCTGCAAGACGCACACGTAAGGATCATGGCTCGGACTGTAATGCCGGGCGTGTACAAAACGTCTGGAATGTGATACAATATAATATGATTTGCGGCCATCAAAAATCATCATTCATCAAAATTCATCAGATCAGATCAGAATAGTTGAGGCTCATGTAGGTCGTAGGATGCATTTCAGACTGATAAAAGTTTATTTTGCTGAGATGTTTGATTTGAAGAGACGTTTCAACACTGTTACAAGACGCATAGGCAATTTTGGAATTGCTCGAAATTTGGTAGGTAACAACTGGGACTGATTTGTGAAATTATTGTGGCGGGTCGTGCAAAGCAGTAAAGTTGTGCTCAATAATCTTGCAGCGCTTTAAAGGTATTATCAGGGTTTTTTCCAAAATTTCGGACTTACTCAGTGAAACGTGTAGAAGAAGGTGACTGAAGCCCCAATCCAAAGTCATTCGTCTCAAAATTGCCTAATTTTCCAATGGTGGGCCTCCAAAGTTTTCGCGGCTGCCAGCCGCGTAAACTTGCGAGTACTTGGTGGTCCATCTCTAAACGCCCATAGGGTTTACACTAGCGGAGACTTTTCTAAATATTTCTAGGGAAAATATAATGGATCTAGGGAAAATATAATGGATCTAGGGAAAATATAATGGATTACAGGGTGCAGTTATTTTTTTACATCTTAGTTTTTGTTTACGCGTTTTTAGACGTTTCTCGGCGCACTGTTGTTGAAGTTATACAGGCCTATTTTACAGCTATTTTCGATTCACAAAACTGCTGCAATTTTTATAACGTTTTTTTTGCAAATTAGCATTTTGATGGAATTGGAATGCATTAAAAGATTTTTATTCTTAAATCTTGAATGCCAATATAATAACAATGTGAATCGAGCCACGCTTGTAGCGAAATATTACGAATCAATGATAATAACAGTAACCGGCAGAAAATATGTAGTTACCGCGATTGTATTAGATAATACTATATGTTCCGCGTGAAATTGACAGGAAATACCACAAGAATAATAGCCTAAACAAATATTGAAATAACTGAAAGCTCATAATACCCGATTAGCACTGCTAACGCTGACCATTTTCTTCGATCACCATACCATAATATCTGAAGATAATGAACTTGAACCTCGAAAAGCGAGTTGTCCAGTTTCAGTCTCCGTTTGTGCGGTACTGGCAGTGGCGGATCCAGGGGGGGGGGGCCGCGGGGGCTGGCAGCCCCCACCCAAGGAAAACTGGCGCCACTGCGCCTTCGGCGCAGTGGCGCCAATTTTCAATTCGCAACTCATCGGAGTGCCGCATACTAGGACTAGGATGCAAAAATCAGTCGAATAACGTCGTTTCAGTACGCTCCGCACCGATATTTCCAATCGTGTGGTGTCACTGTACATACTGATCCTGGGCGCCTCTTGTCAGGGCCACTGGGCGCCAATATTTCAGCGCCAATACGATGCGACTATGGCGCCCATCCGGGGCGTGGCGCCCAATTATGACCTGCAGCCCCTCCCCAGTGAAAATCCTGGATCCGCCACTGGGTACTGGGACACATTCATTATCAGTGAATCAAATAAAAATTGTCCAGGGCATCATGCTGTGATTATATGAACCAGTTAATATGTATAAAATCTAGTTATTGGCCAAACGTAACGGCCACGGACCGTATGTTGACGACCCCGAAATTTAGCGAAATGAAGTATAGGTTCAAGCAGTTTAAATAATGCTGGTGCGTGGGGTTGAATAGTGATGTAACGGCCACAGTCTACAACCACGATAACAAATATCGATTGCGCTTCGCTCAACCAGCTCGTTCTTGCTCAAGAAGCAGTGCATCCCTATAAAATGAAAAGTCTGAACGAATGCATTCAGGTTCCTACCTCTGAATCACCTTATATTGAGATCCGTTTCTTAACAGGAACACAAAC